TGCCAGGCAACAGAGCTGCTTGGGTGTGATTGTGGCTGCGAATTGCCAGCCAGGGAAGGCGATGGAGGAGGGCAGGCTGCATTTCACCTTGCCCCTCTGCTGGATGCTTCTTCAGGCTGCTGGGACCCCAGCAAGGGCTTTCCTCCACTTGCTCCCAGGCTGTCAAGCCGGGCCCTGCCTCTCCTGCCGGGACACTGCAGCCCCTGCATCACCCCATCAGCTGCTGTGACCTTTGGGCAGTGGCACTCGGAGCCTCAGCGGCTGCTCGGCTTTGCTGCATGGTCCCCAGGGGCAGGCTCAGCGCCACGGCCACTGCGGCTCGCAGGGGGAAATGGTGTTTTCATCTCCATCCCTCCACCCCCCTTCCCGCTCGGGAGCTTTCTTAGAGCCAAAGGGAAGAAAAGGCTGTGGTCTGGCTTTGCTGCTTCCCCTCCGCGCCTGCCCTTTCATTCCCCTCTTTCCGGCAGCTGCAAATGGCTTTGCCTCTGAGCGCTCGCACTTATCTGTTCTCTGTGCCTTTTCATCTTGCGCTGCCTAAATATCAGGGCTGGATGGCTTTGGTAGGTGAGCGAGGAGGAAAAAGTGCTTTTGCTGGAGAGGATGTATGGGCAGGAGAGCTGCAGAACCCCTTGTGCCAACAGGGAATCTGGGTACCTCCTCCGAGGCAGCAGAGAACGCCAGGGTGGGAGATACCCTCTTCGGGTGCTCTTCTCCAGGAGGGTGATGCAGGGGCTTGGCAAGTGCCCAGTCTCCATCTGGAGATGATGGAAAGGAATTCTGGGGCCACTGAGAGGCAGCCCGGGCCTGGCTGAGGGTGTCCTGCATGCTGGGGGGGACACTCTGCGCTGGTCCTGCTCCCACCACAGGTTTTCACACCCCAAGCCTGCAGGTTCCCCCCTTCCTTCTCAAGGGATGCATAGGAACAGTGGAGCCGGCGCTGATGGAGGGGATATGGGCACCCTCAAACCAGGGGAGCACAGGTACAATCCCCCAGTATCAGCCCATTCCCTTCACAAGTGCCTTGTTCTTGGATGTACCTGGCAGTGGGACAGGCAGAGGGGGGACCCCAGGTTCTGCTCAGGGCTATGGGGCTGGCCAGGAGCCTTTCAATGGGAGGGAAAGAGCCATAAACCAGATATTTCCCCCCATTAGGAGGATGATGAACACCCTTTTGCAACAGTTCGACTCTGCAAGGTGCATTTACTGAGGTAAAGATGCTCCAGCAGCAGCATGGGGCTGCTCAGCTGCCCACCACCCTCCAAAGGGCTTTTCCCACTTTGACTTGCGATGCTGCACGCTGTCCCATGGCCATTGCTGCTTCCCTGCCCTGCAGCCCATTCCACACCACCTTTCTGGGAAAACCAGCTTGGATCCAGCCCTGCTGAGCACCTCCCAGCCCCTCTGCCCAAGCAGCCCCATGGCCAGACCCACTCAGCATCCATCTGCATCCAAATTGGAGCTGTGCAACACACCGGAGGCTCACATCTCAGCTGCAAAGGTTGCTTTAAGCAAGGAGCCCTTCTTCCTTCTCCTCCTCCCTGGCCGAAGCCAGAAGACCCTGCAGCAGGCAGCCGTGCTGGAGAGCCCCCCCTCCTACCAGGCAAGGCTGCCTTAGTCAAGGGAATAATTGGTAGGTGCTTCTCAAGTGCCATGAATAGAGGGCACTCGTGGCCTTTGTTTATCGACTCTCGAGTGATAATGAACACTTCCAGAGGTAATCATTGATTTTGTGCGTTCGCAGGAGCCCTGGTAACTGGGGAAGGGCTGGAGCAGCACCGCCGCACGGGGCGGGCATGCGGCGGTTCGGGCAAAATCCGGCTCCAGCTCTTCCCTGGGTGCCAGTGGAAGGAGGAAACGCAGAACTCAACGTCTATAGACAAACGTTAGTGCAGCTGCAAGGCAGCCCCGGCTTTCTGCTCTCTCCTAGGGGGAGCAGGTTAACACTGAATCCCAGCTAAATGCATTTTCTCCTTTCCCTCCCGTCGGGTACCTCTTGAACACACATAGCTTCACCCCCCCGGTCACCTTGTCCCTTGGCAGAGGCTGAGCACCCACAGCAGGTGTCCACCCAGGGCAGGGATCCCTCTCCTCTCTGGACCACCCCCAGAATCAAAGCCTAGGGACAGGAGGTGATGAGGAGGTTGGGCCCTTTAAGCATGGAAGAGGATAAAACAGGAGAAGACAGGGCTGGGTGCTGAGCATCCCCACCTGCCTCCGAGCCAGGTAGGTCCCTCTCTGGTTTCCCAGGGGGTTTGGCCTTTGGGGTGCTGGGTGTTTAATTGTGGGGTGCAGGCTGTTGTAGGGCTGTGGAGCTGGGTGCAATGAGCAGTGCTGGGGGCCCCACAGCCTTGGGGAGAGCCTTGCTTGCAGCTCTTGTGCAGGGGATGGGTGGAAGCCCTTTGTGTCATTAAAATCCAATCAAACCCCATCAAATCCTGGAAGAAGAGCCCTCTAAAGAAGAGGTTGTTTTATTCTATCTTATTTCCTCCCTCCAAGTCCGTGTTTCTCTGTCCCCATCCCAGGACTCACTACAGTTTATTGTACCCATTTGAGTGCAAACATTTGAACCTGGCAGAGCCCCATGCTATTGCTGGGCTGTAAATAACCTGAGGTGGCATTTATTGCCGTGGCAGGGAAGGCAGCATCTGCTGGGGCTCTGGGGATGCTGTTTCTAGAGTATGGCTGTGCCCACCCCAAGGGCTTGGGATAGGGAGGGCAGGAGGGGCTGCCTGTGCCCCATGGCACTGTCCCATAGCTCCTCGCAGCCCAGCTTTGGGGAAGCACTGGCAATGCCACGCTAGAAATGTAAGGTTTAATTTCTGCTTATATATAATACTGCTTTTTCTGGGTATCTTGTAATGCTTTTCCAGGCTGTTTGTTTATGAGACAATTTATTATGGCACAGTTATTCTATAGCAGGGAAGTCTATTCCTAGGAGCCTCCATTAACTGAGCCAATTGCTTAATTGGCTCACTGATGTCTCCGCAAGGTATGCCAGGAGAGAGGCTTCTTGTTGTAATGATCACAGCCTCCCTCCTGCCCACACGCCACCAGTGCTGCTAATTTAATAGTGCAAACATTTCTTATTCCTTTTATTTTGTAGTTAATTTTAGGATGCTTAGAGCTGTTCCGGGGTTGCTGGTAGAAGGAAGGGGGTGAAGTGCCCTGCGGTGTAATGAGGAGCCTGGCTGCAGCTGGGGGTGGTTGGACTCATCCTTCAAAGCCCAGGGGGATGCAGGGGCTGATGCCTTGCAGGGTATTTGGTTAATGAGCTACAAGAGAAGGGCTGCGGCTAATCCCCACCTGCATCTGGGTCAGTCAAGCGAGGCCAGGGCGTACGGGCACTTGATCTCTCTTTGAGTTTAATGTGCTCCGAAGGGAAACGGGCTCCTAACGAACAGGCTGTGTGTTATGAGAGTGCCTGGAAGGGCCAGAGGAAACCCAGGCTTGGACTGGGTTGAGTGGTGAGTGCCTGCTCCCACTGGTGGCTGTCCTGGGGCTGGGGGGTGCTCACTGTGCCATTGATGGGCGCTGTCTGCGCCCTCCCCCGGTTGTGCCTTTGCAGCGTGGCTGCTCTAGACCTCTCACGCCCTTTGCCCTGCTCCTTCTGCTCTGCCCCGCTGTGTGCTGTGCCCATGCCTGACCCTGGCATGTGCAATGTGCCCTGGGCTAGGGCAGAGCCAGAGCTTGTGTCTGGCCTTTCCCAGCCCCTCGTGGTGCCTATTGCCCCCGGGTGGTTTCCCAGGGGAAGCAGCATCCCTGCGCTGTGTCTGAGCATCCTCCTTCCCTCGCAAGCTTGGCTGGGGGTGTCTGGCAGAGCCAACAGCGTCTCTGTAGAGCCCCGCTGGACCCGTGCCCGCTCCAGCAGCCGTCTCCAGCCTCGCAGCACAAAGCCCAGCGCTGCCGGACGACGCGTGCCGCCGAGGCTCCCCCTTTGTGGCTGCCGGCGTGGAGACACGGGTCGAGGCTGCCTGCCCCGTGTGCCACCGGGGCAGGGAAGGGGGAGCTGACAGGCAGCGCTGTCAGAGGGAGCCTCCCGTTAATGCTGTATTTAGTGCAAGAAAGTGATTTGAGTTTCTCCGTCATTTTTCATTCTTTCCTGGCTCCCACCACCTATTGTTCCTGGCTCCATTATCCCCCTGCCGCTTACATAAATGTATCATGTGGGTTTCCAAGGCACAATAGAGAGAGTCTCATTCATCCAAGGTCACTGGCTTTTACTTGCACTTCAAAGCATCTGGTGCAAGAAACGCTTTCTCCTGAAGATGCTTTTATTGTACTCGGTGCAGAGGCGAAGGGGAATTGCTCTGCTGCACTTGTGCTGCCCCAGCCCTTCCCTCCCACTTTCCGTGTGCCTGGTCTTGGCGGGTCTAATCCTGCCCTGGAAGGTGAGGAGCTGTTTTCTGAGCTGGTTGGGAACCCACTGAGGGGTTTTCCAGCCTCATTGCTGTGGCCAAGCAGGAGTCTGCCCCATCCCTGTCCCTCTACCAGTGCCTGCTAAATGGGAAGGGATAGGGAGGGGGGGAAATAAAGGGAGGCTTTGGGACTTGTATGGGGAGGAGTATGGACCAGTTACAGAGAGGTCTCCATGCCCTCCTCCTGCTTTCTCCCTCGCCCACCCGGGCTGGTGGCTCTACGCTCTCCCTCTGTGCCTATTAAACAGTTTGGACTAGGGAAAAGCACAGGTAGCCCTTGCTCGGGGGTCGGGACTTGTGGGGCTCAGGCCAGCCATGGGGGTGCCGTGATCCAGCAGCGCGCAGGCAGCACCTCCTTGCTGGGGAAGGCAGTGATGGGGATGCGGTAAGGGAGGTGCTGGGCTCAGTGGAGACCCCAGGCTGGGAGCGGGTGCGCGGGGTGCCCGCAGCGGAAGGAGCGCGCCCGGCCCCGGCTGCCCTCGGGGCGCGGCTGCCGCGGGAGGCGGTGCCGGGAGGGGACGGACGCGGCCGGGCCCAGCCCCGCTCCTCTCCTCTCGCCTCCTCTCCCCGCCTCGCCGGCACATAACGGGCGGGGGGCGGCTCCCGCACAGCTCCGGGGCCGGCTCCGCGGGATGTAGCGCTCAGCACCGCGGAGAGCGGCGGGGCCGGGCCGGGGGGGGACATGGCCGGGGTGCAGCAGGGCGAGAAGCAGCTCTTCGAGAAGTTCTGGAGAGGCACCTTCAAAGCCGTGGCCACGCCGCGACCCGAGAGCATCATCGTGGCCAGCATCACTGCCCGCAAGCCGCTGTCCAGGTAAGGGCTGCCAGGGAACGGGGTGGGGGGGGCACGGACGGAGTCGGGGATACCCCCTCCGGATGGGGGCTGCATCAGCCCGAGCCCCCCATCACCCCCAATTTGTAGCTCCCCATCAGGAGGGTCTGGAGTATCTTCTCCCTGCTCCATGCCAGTTGGGTAGTGGAGGACGTGGGGGTACCCCCCATGCCTAGGGAAGAGGGATGTTGGCTGGTTGCCCCCCCCCTTCCCGGTAGGTGCTGTGCTCCCGAGGGGAGCAGGCTTGGGAAACTTTGCTCAGAGGTGCTTGGAGCCCTGGAGCTGGCTGTTTCCCAAGGGGAGCCTGGTAAGCTCTAGCTGGGATATGGAGGGGGAGCAGTGGTGGGGGTCATCTGTCAGAAAGTGTGGCCAGCTCCATCCCAGCCACGCAGAGCCCCGGGGTGTGTGTCCTGCTTGGTGGTTGTCTTGTTTCTGCATCACTCCTTCACTAGGGACCACTGGGAAGGCGATGCCCAGGGAGGGGAACAGCCCCAGTCCAGGTGGACCCTGACCTGGTGCAGGGGAAGGCTGATACTGCCCAAGGAGCCTGCTCACAGCCATGGACCGGAGCAGCTCCAGATCTGGTGTCCCTCAGCTCCCAAAGCCAAGCAGTCTCGGTTTGGCACGTCTGGTACCTGCCTGCCTTATCCCTCTTGCTCCTCATCTTTGCCAGGGGCAGGACAATGGCCAAACCCCATGAAACTAGGGAAAGGCGCTGCTGCCAGGTTGTCGCATGGGCAAGCATCCGTGTGGCTTCTTCACAACAACGCACTAATTTAGATCAGTTTTATTTTGCTGACTGTCTCAACATTGGTTACAAATATCCTCTTTGCACTGTTTTTCATGAGGAAAAGAGGCTTTTCCTGGTTCTTCTCCCTCCTTGTTCTGTATTCCCACTGCTGGCTGCTCACACAGTGTGGGGAGCACCCCAAACTTTCATGAAAGTGATGGGTCTCTAGAAGAGAGGGGCTCGGTGTGCAGTGGGCTGGGTGTCAGATTCAGCCTGCACTGAGGAGCAGAGAGCTCGTGGGGAGCTGCTTTTAATGCCTCCTGTGCTGGCAGAGGCTGTGAGCCACAGTAGCAATGGGGATGGGGGTCCCAGCGCTCAAGCAATGCAAGGATCATTTCTGCCTCTGTGACCAAGCTGCCCAAGCATGAATTTTTCCGATCTCTCCAATTGCCATTAATCAGGGTAGGAAAGTGGGAAAGGCTTCTAAAGGAGATGAGCAAATCGTGTTTCCAGGGACAGTGTTTGCAGGGCTTCAGCCTTCATGGGGGAGAGGAACCACTGTGCTTTCCTCCTCCCCTGCATCGGGCTCAGTCAGCTCCCAAAGGGGCTATCCGCAGGCTGGGTGCTGGCTTGCACACACACTCTTCTCCAGCTTGATTGTGCCCGAGCAAGCCGTGCTGCTTAAATACCTCACGGTTGGAGATGTAATACAGCAGCAAATGAGGACATTGGGGAAACACAGCAAGCCTGAGTACCAGGGATGATGCCCGGCTCTAAGCCGCGGCTGGGATTGCCGCAGACAGCCTGTCAGGCTGAGCGCAGCGGCTCGGAGCGCTGGCAGCTCCATCCCGAAGTTGAGGAAGGCGCGGGGCTCTCTCTAGTTCGCTGGCAATGCCAGCTCCAACCGGAGCCTGTGTCGGGGTCAGGAGCTCTTGGTACACAGCCAAATGGACCCGCCAGCTTGGCTTTGCTGTGCTTTGCACCTTGGCACCGGCAGATCCTGTACAAGGGGGTCCCCAAGTAGGGGTGTGCTCCGGGCAGCCAGTCACGACACTGCCAGGTCCCCGCGGCAGGTCCCCGTCCCAGCTCCTTTTGTCTCCTTGCAGTGCGTGCCGCCGGTCGGGATGAGGGGATATTCCCTGTGGTGCAGCCATCTGCTCCGCTGCCCTCACTGCGGTGTGCAGGGGGTCAGCCCCGGCAGGGCTCTCTGCTGTGCTGGCCCTTGTGCCACAGAGGGGCTTTGCTGTTCAGAGGAGCAGAAACCGAAGGTTGAGGGAGCAGAAAGAGACTTCCTGGCTTCTCTCGTCACCGCTTGCATCTTGCGGGGCTCTGCCGAGAGCCCGAGGCTGCTCTCTCGGCACAGTCACACTGCTGAGATTCCAGATCTCGCATCCCCAAAGGCCTCCCTAACGGGGTGCACAGCGATGTCCCCAGCACCCTGAGCTGGCACCAGCAATAGCTAGAGGCGGGTTTGGCTACTCATCCACAGAGAGAACAGCCCCAAGGCTTGCAGCAGCTCCTCTTGGAGCTGTCTCCGCGCCTGGCTCCACTCTGGGTTTGTTTTCCTGACGGTTTTGCCGGGCTGCTGCTCGTATTGGCCTTTCTTCCCTGACGATGCTCCCATCTAATTCAGGAGCAAATGACTGCGGTGCCAGCGAGCAGAGTGCACCGGGCAGGAGTTGGGGAGGCCCTTTAGCCAAAGGAAAGGTTAAGAGGACCATCTGGATCCCTGTTTTCTCCCACACTTGACAGCTGGTCCTGTGCCCTGGATCTGGCCCCACGCTTCCCGCAGCAGTGGAGGCGATGGCAGCGTTTCTAGGACAGTGCTGCCCGTCTCCCCATCGCTGGGCTGGTTGAGCCCGTGCCTTTGTGGGGTGTCATGGGGGTCCTGTTGGGAGCACCCACAGTGGGCATAGCCCAAATCCATCCCTGCAGGGCATGGCTGAGGGCTCAATCCTGCATCCTTGTGGGGCTATGGTGGGGTTCCTGGGGATAGAAAGTGATTTTTTTGTGTCTCTTTGTCATTCCCCACTACTTGAGCTGGCTCTGTCCCGTGCTCCATCCCTCGCCACCACCTTCCTGCTGGTCCTGGTTATAAAGCCTCTTCCGTCTAAACTGCCATCAAGCATCTCTGGGATGTTTGGAGGGTTAAAGCTCTGATAAACGCAGGTTCATCCTGGAACAAAAGAATACATTAATCCCTTCCCTCCCGGTCCTGCAGGGGCTGGAGGGGAAAAGGGGGATGGGGTATTTACTCAGCCCCAAACACAGCTTTGTGCCCAGAGCAGGGCTCTGCCAAAGTAAATGGATTATTGACCAGTTTGCAGTGAGAAAGGAAAAGCCGAGGTGATGGAGAAAGGGGCTTTTCCAATTAACCTTTCCTCTCCATAGGGCCCGGCGGGACTTCGTGGTACAGCTTCTGCATAGGCAAAATCCCAGGGTGGGATTGAAGGGGTCTGTGTGCCCAGTGGGCTGGGGAGCACTAGGGACAGGAGCAGGGTGCCCTCGCTCTGTTTTTCTGGCCCACAAGGATGCTGCAGGCGGCTTTGGCTCTTGTGAACTGAAAACAGTCTTTAAACCTCGTGTAATAAGGTTCACCCAGTCTCAGCCCAGCCTTTGGGGGTGGCTATCACCACCACCCTGTAGCCTCAGCCCCACAGCCTGGATCCCCTCTTCTCTCTCTTGTCTGGGCTTCTGCCTGCATCTCTTCCCTGGCTGTGACCTCAGGCACAGCGTGGTGCCCGGCAGCCCCTTTGCACTCCACGGTCTGACCTCTCCCAGTGCTGCTGTGTATTCCATCAGCACCCAGCCAGGCTGGGAGCTGCTCCACGGTCCCCCCCCCAGGACCCCCAGAGCTGGTAGCAGGCCAGGGCATTGTGGGATGCTTTTGGGGGTGTTTGGGTTCCCTGCTCCCACCCCGCCAGCCACAGCAGTGCAGCACAGGCTGCCCTGTCCCAGCACCGAAACCTCAGCTGAAATCCACATCTCCGTGATGGCTGAGTCTGGGGGCTGTGGGTGCTGGTATCGGCTCCTGGGCAGCTGGTGATGCTGGGTGAGCACCAGCAGAGCCGGGGGAAAGGAGGCTCCTGCATCCCTCCCTGCCAGATGGTCTAAGTGGGTCATCTCAGGGCAGGGCAGGGGATTTGTGCTTTAACCCTTAATCCCCGGGACCGCACCGTGCACAGGGGGGAAGGGGAGCTGCTGAAGTGGGATTAAACGTGGGTTTCGTGCCTCGTTTGCCGTTGCGGGTGATCTCAGAGACAGGGGTGCTGCTGCCACCAACCTGCTGAGACAAGGGTGGCAGTGCTGGGGGGTCCCAGCACCCCAGGGAGGGCAGAAGGCAGCTGCAGTAGCCCAGTGACTTCAGCGGTGACTTTTGGCCATGTATTGAACTGGGGACCCAACCTCTGGCTTCCCGGCCACTTTTCGGTGTTCCCAGTCCCTGCTCGTCAGCCCTTGGGCATCGGGGTTTGGTGCTGGGCCGGGGGGGGGGAGCACTCGCTGACTCTGCCGTGCTGGTGGCCCCCCCACTCCCGTTAATCCCCCCCTCCTTGGCCGGGCATCTGCTGTGCGGGCAGAGGCAGGGCCGGCGCGCCAGCCCGGCTGCCATCTGCTCCCAACCAGCCCCAGCGCTAATGAGCCCATGGCCCCGGCCCAGGCGGGGGGAGAGGGGCTTGAATAGAAAAGCAGGGAGAGAAGAAAAGACCCTTCCTTGGAGGGGCTGTCAATAGGGAGGCTTTTGTCTGCCCCTGCCCTCCAGCTGGATGGCGGGGAGAGCTAATTAGACAGCTCGGGAGCTGCTGGGAGGCTGGGCTGAGCAAGGGGAAGAGCTGGGGATGCCTGCGGGATCCCCTCCCTGCTGCTCTCAGAGCCTTCATCATCCTCCTGCTCCTCCGTCCTCCCAGCCTCATCCGTCTGCCTACCCATTGGGCTGGTGCTGGGGACCCTGCTGGCCTCCCCGGTGGGTCTGGGGACACCTCTGTCCCCAGAGTGTGCCCCAGTGTGTCTGGGAGGTCAGGATAGAGGTTCCTGCCAGGGCCGGGCGGGATGTAGTGAGTGCTATGTGGCAGAGCTGGGCTCAGCACCCATGGGTGCTGTAGCAAGGCATGCTGTGCTCCAGTGTGAGAGGGTGTATAAGCACCTAAGGACTTAGGGAAAGGGCCTTTGGAAGCCCCTCTAGGAACCCCAAACTCACGGATGGGGTTCTAAGCAGTGCCGCCTCTCCTTGCTGTACCCCTGCTCTGGTCACCTG